GAGAGTTAAAGTTACTCACGGCAGCACGGCAGTAGTGTGAGTGGGATCGTAACTAGATTGGTTGGTCCACACCTCGGTGGCACCCCAAAAACATATTTTGTTTAATTGTTTTTAGAAGTTTGCCTTTGCTCTTAAATTGTTGTTGTTGAGCGATTTTTAATTGCTTAAGTCAGCGTCAAAAATTTCATTTGGTCTGCTTTTGCCCACAGTTTTGTTAGTGTCCGTACTTAGCGACCCACGCCGTCTTCACTAAGCCGCCTGGCCGGTCGGTTTGTTAGTTTTTTTGTTTTCTCACTTTTGTGCAGTGGGTCGTTGTTATGCCTTAACATCTTCGATAACATTTCTGATATGTTAAATGTTAAAGAACAGTAAGAAATTTAAGCGCGAATCCGAATTTCGGTATGGTTTTCGCATTATTAGCGACCAACATCCAAAAGTTATAGAAAAATAATTTAAATAAAATATTATGTGTATTTCTGACATGAAATAAATCTCCTCATAAAAACCCATTAGCCGTTCGGAGGCGGCGGAAGACGCAAAACCACAAATTGGAACAGGATCTTACAAGTTAGAGGCAAACTTTGTTAAAAACCAGTAGAAGACTTGAGAATAAACGATTATTGCTATGCGAAGAAGAAAAAGTTAAGCTGATTTGGGTAGTGAGGGCGGCCCATAGCTACAAAGTAAATTAATCGTATTTTACGGCTGTATAGGTAAACTATGCATTTCATTAAGTTATTTGAATGTAATAAATTATTACATTCTATTATTAAGCTTCGGCCGCAATAACCGAGTGGTCAGCAGGGCGTGCTACCGTTGGGAAGGTTAGGCTTCAGTTCGTGGTTCCACCACATTGGGGCGGCAGTCGCTTCAGCGGTTAAAAGAGTTTGTAAAAAGATTAGTTCTTATCCTTTACTTTATATGAACTTCAACACTGTCAACTATGTCACAACATGCGCTCAGCTGTTAGAACCCTTTGCAGCTACCCCTGCGGGTTGGGGGCTCAAGAATTTATCCGCGGTAAGGCATGCCTGTCGTAAGAGGCGACTTAAACGCAATAGTTTCCGCGACAGTGAGGTCTTTGTACCAGAACGACCCGGATTTTTATCCGGCCAAGGACTATCTCCCGCAACATCCCCCAAAAAGTACATTGAGGAACATTTTGGTGGTTATAACAACAACAAAAACTCACATTGCAGCTCCCGGTCCAGCCATCTTAAATCAATAGAAATAAATGGCAATGCTGCCATAATCATTGGAGGTCATACGATGAAAACCAAGTAATGATCGTACTGTCTCAAGGCGCGGTGTTAAGCTAATGTTCAAATGCTCATAGACAACTTGAAGAGAACGGCGGACGTATCCAATTTGAGTCAAGGAGCAGTTAACATGTGCATCCGGATATGTGCGCGAGCACAATCAAAAATGCTGTTAACGTTTCGCGGCGGGTAGCGTTGGATTTACTTTTAGCAATAAAATTCAATGGTCCGCTATCTACAGCGAAGTAAATAAATAAAAAAACACAAAAATGAAATATGTAATTGTACAAAATGAAATTTAAATATGCTTAATACTTTTCTTAGAAGCGATATGTTTCTTAACTTAATTTCAATAACAATAATTTATAATATAAATTACAAAATTGATAATATTTTTGCAAACGAAAATTCTATTATTGACTTTCACATTCATCACCACCGATAATTGAAACTATTTATAATAATAAAAGTAATAGGATTATCTATGTTTCGGATATACATACCTTTTCTTACTAAAACTTTGCGAAAAAATTGCAAACTAGAGTGTTGCCTGGTTTTAGAATCTTCAATGTTAACAACTTTGGAAAAAAAACAAATGTGGGTTTATGTATGTATGTACGTACATGCATATATCTTGAAATAGATTATTTTGTATTATATATTATTTTATTCTACCAAGCATGCACATCCCTGACATACGTGTAAGAAATTTTCCTAAAAGAAAAAAATATGAGTCTTATATTTTTAGTCAGCTGTTGTGCTCGTTTATGGTTTTAAAGAATTATTGACAATATTTTGACATATGAGCTTAAAAGAATTCGATCGACCGTTATTTTTTCTGTTTCTATTACATTTTTTTGGCTGGTTTTCAAATGTGCTGTACATGCAAACTTTTATATTTTGAGATATTGTAACTTTATTAAAATTTCTCTAGAAGGTATTCATATTCCTACTAAATGTATGTTAATATAATTTCGATCTTGAATTCTTTGGGCCGATGAGATACACAGCTTCTTAATAAGATAGAACTTTTGTTATACAATACATTCGGTCACAAATTTAAAATCATTTAGCCAACTACCAATATACTTGAACTAAAATGAAAGATTTTAAAAATATTTCAGAATACATAAATATTTTTTCTGAAGTATCCCATAGTAATTATCTAGGTCCAATTCCAAGTTCAGTGTTTATAAATATTTTCCTCTATTGTGGTTGGTGTCGTCAACGTCGTCGCAAACTTGCTATTGCCGAAATGACGATCATCGATGAAGTAAACGTCATTTGTCATATCTACATTAGCTGTTTAATTTTGTTTACAATTTATATGATAGCTTTCCTTTTTCAGAACACGAGAAACTGTTTCAATCAAATATTTATATTAATATTTTATTTTTTTGCTCTCATGTATCAGTACGAAAAATCCAAAAATTAACTTAATATAAATTTAAAATTATTTAAAGCATACCTATTCAAAAAAAAAATGCTTTACTAATTTCTTTAAATTTATTTCATTTTAGGTTTGAAGACTATTTTCCTTTTAAGAAATCTGCGATAAGATATGTATGGCAATCAATATATGAAAAGTGGAGTACGGACGTGTATGTGTGGTAATGAGGGGTCTTCAATTTAATATTTATTAATTTATACAAAACGTCTGTTCGACGCGAACTCCAAATTACAACCTAACTTCAATAAATGCGCGAAGTTATGAATAAGCGAAATTAGCAAATAACATCAGGTGATCGATAATTTGTCTATGTAGTTCATTGTTCTGATTGAAATGAAATTGGATCTCGATTAACAATATTTTAAAATATTTATTTAACAGAACTATATTCACTGGAATTGCGTTCAACTTATTGCATAAACTAGTTATGAGACGATTTCGATTCGAAGCACACTGCAAACTTTTCTTCATAAAATTATATAATATTCATAGTATGATCGCGCTACTGTTACTCGGCAGTTTCTAAATTTTTTACGCCTTAAAGGCTTTCCGTATTAACTTAAAAAGTTGGTTCATATTTTGGTTTCGATACGCTTTGCGTCAGAAACTAGTTTTGGCAGAAATGGCTGGTAAAGCAATATGTTGTCTAACATTCAATTTATTTACGCTTCCTCAATTCTGTAAAGCAATACATAATATCTAAATTTCATAGAAAAGAATAAAATACAAAACTATAATTACTATTTTATATTTGTTTTATAAATTTATTGAACACCAAAAATATAAAACTTGATGTAGTTTTTAGAAAGTAAAAATCTTAGTTTTGGCTTTTTTCCGAATCAAGGCGAAGCAAGTTTTATAATAATCAGACTTTAGATGCTTAATTGTGAGTGTGTAAGAGGAAATAATAGTATATGTGGCATGCCCGCAAAAACAACTATAAATATTTAAGTTGAACCTGATACTTTATCCTGCCTATACATTTTTCAGTCAATCATCGCCTGAAAGCATAGAAGATTACAAAACTACTCTCTAACCAAGCTAATAAGAAAATAGCGGATAAATTAGCGCACTTAATAGTTGTTGGTTAATAATGAATTATTTAATACAACAACAGATTATATGGCTGATGTTGGCGCAGTGACATAGCACTCGCCTGTTAAGTTAGGATCCGTTGATTCGATCCCTGCCATAAGAAGTCTGATGAGGAGATGTGGTGATCTCCGAAACAGCTGTAACTTCCACCATTTTTCTTTGTTGTATAAAAAAATATTCAATTCATACAAACAAACCAGGCCTTTTGTTTACTTAATACTTATAACAAAAAAATCTCAGTGCATACTTCCTAGGGAATTGTCCATAAACCTTGTAGTCATATTTAGGCCTATTAAAATATACTTAAATTCAAATTCAAATAAAATTAATGAATTATTATATATAATATTTATATAATAGGTAATTTTATAAGATGTCAAACCAATAAATATATATTTAATAACAATCAATAAACCATTTAACTTATTTTATATTAAGTAACGGCTTCATCTGAAAAAAACATTCGTAGGTATGCTTCCACCTCCTCACCCTCTTGGCCGAGCAACGTGGCTTATGAACACGCCTAGTGAGATATTCATTACACAACTGTTTATCAGATCATTAAAAAAAATTTGCTCAACCTAAATTATGCAATAGTCAACCACAATTTCAGTTAAGAGCATCACTTCCTTTTTAAGGATTAACTACTTTAACTGCTCATAATATTGTTGTATGTCAGCATAATTAGTGTGTATATTGTAAATTTTTGTTTGTAGAAATATGTATAAATGGTATACGTATATGCATTAATTTCCGCATAGAAGTACATTCATACATACGATATACATAAGTACATGATTTACCAATACACATCCAAATTGGTATAACTTCCCTGCAGGGGAAACTGAACTAGTATGAAAAAATTCCTGTTAAATACTGGTATGTTGAAGATCAAATCATGACAGTTCGTTATTTGTAAAAAAATTCCACTAGTAACGGAAGAAGTAACGATTTCCACCACTGTTTATTGTTGTTATATCAGCAGAACGCGGCTGGATTCCATTCTCTGCTCGGTTCTGTTGAAGTGCGCGAAATGACATTGATCGTTGAATCGTCATAGTTAAAGGTTATCGCTGTAGTGCGTTAAGCCTAAATCCCCGGTTCGACTAGATAATTCACTGTTTTATTTTTTCTTAATATTTAGTGAAACAGAATTTGTTTATTTTAATTTTTGGTGAAACAGAAAATTAAAATTTTTATTTTTTTTAACTTTTTTTGAAACACAAATTTTTATCTCCACATCATTCGTATTTTTTTTTTTTTTGTGTGTATGACACGGCTGAGTTTCACTTCCTAAATATTTTTGTTAAAATGCGCAGATTTCGTTCCTCCACATATCTTAATGATAGTTTAGTGGTTAGAGGTCTTCACTGTGGTGCGTCAGAGGGTCTTAGTTCTATTCTCGCAGCCGGCAAATTGAGTTTTATTTGATTTAGTTTTTTTTTTTTTTGGTGAAGTTGAAATTTAACATGCCTAATTGAACTAGTTTTAAGCTAGTATGAAGCTGATGCACAGTAAACTAGTTGATTTCTACTTAGCAACTAGTATTTTCCCCTGCAGGGTTTGTCTTTGATTTTGAAAGCATTTGAATTTTATTGTTTACTCACCAGCCAATAAAATTCTTCCAATTAACTCATTTCGTCCAATATTATCAAAATCCATTACCATAACATCTAAAGAGCATTCACGTATCTTCTCCCATGGTACATTGAAACTAAATGATTCATTAAATACAGGATTGAGTGTGCAATTATATATTGGAGTCTTTCGTTTTTCAACACGCTTATCGCCAAATTGTAGCCACACCTTAACGTATGGATCTGAAAGCATTGTCCAAATGGATTTATGATAGGGATAATATGTGATTTCTATATTTTTATACATACATGGTACACATATATAAAAAATATTTTCATATCATTTCACAAATATATGTACATATGTATTTTAAATATTGTAGGATGTCATTTTCTCTGCTGGGGCTTGTCTGTGCATATATTATATATGTATTGGATGAGTGCATAAGTTCGTGCCCGATTTCGCTGGATGCCGTTAGAATCGTTTGAGAGTGGCGCTCGTGAAATATATACATATTATATATCGTTGGAAACCACGCGATTTCTATGAATCAGGCATCCGTAAATTGGTTGAACGTTGGGAGTGGATTGCCGAACATGATGGCGAATACATAAATGATTAATAAAAGCGCTTTCTTCAAAAAATTTCAATTTTAGTTTGCACTTGAAATCGGGAACGAACTTATGCACTCATCCAAATGAACGTTTATCCACAATGAACATTCTTAAAAGCGGCAGAAGTTAAAATTTTGTTTTATGTAACAAGACACAAATATTCATCACTTAATTTTAGTTTTTGTAATGTAATGTAAAATTATTTCGTTGAAAGACATTTGACCTTCTTTAATTCATAATCCAAATTCAAAGCAGCCTTGATGAAGCGAGAATACGTCCAATTCATTTTTGTTGACTTTTTTTGTAGAACAGAAGCGAAAGTTTTACAATTAAAATACTCTCGAAGGTAGAAAAATAAATCGCAGTATTTGATTTGAAGGATTCATGAAGGTTCACATAACGTCTACTGTGATTTACAATCTCTCGAAAAAATCAACCTGCCCAAATTAAAGCAACATCATCGAAGACAGCGCTGCACATGGTGGTATCATTAGATATCTGCAATTATTTCTACCCTAACTGGCCTGAGCGTCAACTATCAAGTTGTCGCGTACTGGTCGCAGCAAAAGCTTCTCTTGTCCTTTATTTTGCCTAAGCTTCCTTAAATTCCAGCGGCTGCGACATCTGTCGGCAAATAGTTGCATTATTTGAAGCCATGGATTGAAGGCACGGTTGCATTCGGTGTGTGCCTACCCAGCGGTATAAGTCTCCAAAAATAGGTGCTCCGCAAAACAGTTCCTCCACTAACAAATATTAGGGCAACGGAATACTTTGTGCGGGAATTCCGTAAAAAGGGGTGCCGTTTTTTTCTTTAATTCGGCGAGGGGAAAAATTATCCCAGTGTAATTGGTGTGCCATGGTGGTGTTCGCTTTACAGCCCGGTCCCCTTGGGGCGACGCCAAATGATTGGGCACCAATACACACTCGCAGGAGAATTTTGAAGGCCGACGCGTGCGAAAGTGCGTTCCGGATCGTATTTTCGCAATATTCATAAGCGGAAACATTCTTTTTGCGCAGACAAGCGTTTTTTAGAAGAAATAATAAATAAAAAGTGTTTTGCCAGGGGCGGCAAGTAAGGGCAGTTGAAGCCTAGTGTGTGAAACAGGGAAAATAGGTTTTGTGGATACCAGTGGCGGCACTGGGGCTTGGCAGCACCTTCAGAGAAGAACCGAAGTCGGGACACACACCCGACCGAGAACCATAAGTATCACGTTGACTGTTTATTGTTTGGTACATTTTTGTCGTGCCGACAGTGTCGCTCCCTCCGTTCATCCTCACCCATCTTTATAGCATCCCGCACTCAAAGCCCAGTCACAAAGGCGGGTTAAAGTTACCCCCGGCAACACAGGAGTAGTGCGAGTGGGTTCGTAACCAGTTTGCTTGGACTTGAGGCATATTTTGTTTATTTTATTACAAACATATAGTTTTACTCGGCTGTCCAGTTAACATTTCTTAAGGCGCTTTTTGGGTTGACCTTCCCATAATCCGTGAGTAACAAGTAAACGGTTTTATTTATGTTTCCGCTTAATTTCGATTAACGCATTTCTACACAGAACAAAAGTAAGCAAATTAACACTGACACCAAGGCTGAAACCACACCATATCTTACACATAATTTTTCCCTAATTCACACCGCATGTGTCCTCGTTTGAAAGTACAATAAGAAAAAAAATATGCACATATATTCTCAAGATTGTTTATTTTTACTTTAATTTTTAAACAACTTGTGTCTCCTTGTCTTTTTCACTAGATATATTCTTTCATTCACAACTACTGGCGTTACTGGCAAAACGAAATGACTAAAAGTTGTCACGTACTGGTCGTAACAAAAACTTCTTTTGTGTTTGTTCATATATTTCCTTTGTTTTGCCTAATCTTTCTTTCACTCCATGCGTTGGGAGTTACATCTGTCGGCAATTAGTTGCATAATTTAAAGCCATGGATTGATGCCACGGTTGTATTCGGTGTGTGCCTTCCTAGTGGACCCAAACGGAAAATTATCCCAGTGTACGTGGTCCCTTTGGGTAATGGGTCCCTTTGGGTAATTCCAGCAATCTACAAAAGAAGAGTAAACCCCTTTTTTTGCGCAGGCGAGCGTGCTGATAGTTGAACAAAAAGTTCGTATTATAAATATATAGAATAGTGCAGTGTTTTGCCACACGGGGCAATTATTAGTATAAAAGGCAGTTGAAGCCTGATTTTTGTGTGTGGCAGGGTAGTGACACGTTTTTAGATAGCGGTAACGCTAGAGTTTGAGTCATGACCGGAGGAGCAACATCACAAACCCGACCGATCAAATAATTATCATATTATTAATTTTGTTAATTGTTTTTGCACGTTTTGTCATGCCGACAGTGTCCAGAGCCCAGTCATACAGGCGGGTTACAGTTACCTCCGGCAGACGGCAGTAGTGCAAGTGGGTTCGTAACCAGTTTGGTTGGACCACACCTCGGGGGCACCCCAAAATAATATTTTGCTTATTTGTTGTCCAGCTATTGTGCTGATCATTTTACATGGTTTGTGTTTTTTTATTTTGCCCACAGTCTTTTGTCTCGCTCTGTTAGGTCGTTTTGTCGCCTTCTTCTTTTTATTATTATTAGTATTAGGGTATTCATGGAGTGTGGGAATCGAGCCCAGGCCCAATCAGGAACTGATTAGTATTTTACTTACAAAGGAATTCGTTAAATCCGTTCCGGCGTGAAAATTAGCGGTTTTTTTTGTTTACACTTGTGTGTTTTATACAAGTAGAAAAAAGCTGTTAAACTGGCCAAAAGTAAACAGTAGTAGTCCTGTAAAAGTTCGTTTGTGGTTTTTACCTTTTTTCATAAAATTAAGATTTTGTTGTTAATTTTTTTTTTTTAATTTTTGGTTTCAATAAATATTCTTTTATTTAATAAGAAATTTGTTTTGGTTAATAATGGTGTTGTTAATGTAGTTAGTGCTTTAATATTCTATATTTTGTATTTATGTTTATATACCTTTTTTTCTTTTTGTACATCTTTTCTTTGATTAGGCTACATGTTGTCATGGTTTTTTGTTGTGCCAGTATAGAGCAACGCGAAAAACATTAGGGTAGTAGCTTTTTTTAATTTTGAATATAACTTAAATTTTTTAGTAAACATTTGTTTACCTTTGTTTATTTTTTAATTATGGAAATAAATTGGTTCGCGCAGGATAAGTTCGGGTACGAGATGAAATCGCGTGGTCTTCAGTTTCGACGAGGATAAGACAGCGGTCGGGTCGTAGCTGGATTACGTGAAGAGTTTAATTGTATCGGTTCCGGGTGGAGATAAGCCATCGCATATAGCGAAAGTCCTCACGAAGATCGAGTGGACCGTATCGCGAATCGGATGGGCGCGACTGGACAATGACAGCAAGATGAGCCAGCAGATGGAGCTGAAGAGCAAGTTGCTGCTCCATCTCGACGAACTACAAGAAGAAGTTGGTGGCGAGGACGCCAAAGAGGAAATCGGTGCGGTCGAGCGCTGCGGTGCCACTCGTGTGGACCCAATAGCACCCTCGCTCCTGGAAATACGACAAGGGGTTGAAGAGACAGTTGGGTCTCAGTAACCGGCGAGCTTATCGAAGTGCGTTGTCGGTTTTCGGGTTTTTACAACGGGTTGATCGGTTTACCGAGGCACACGGCGTGACACCAGCTCAACTTTTCATAGGCGCGGTAGATTTGCTTATAAGAAAGGCTTTGTTATGGTTTAGGTTATGTGGAGCTATTGCACTGCAAATACGACGATCTCTTATTAGACGAGAATACGCGAAGGACTCAGGGAGCGAAGAGGTCCATAGGTGTATATGTCACGACGATCAAGATAAAAAAGAATAATTTTGAGATATACGGTTTAATAGAATCATTCTAATTACTTAATTGTCACACCTCGTATGTAAGTATGTAAATATATATAATACGTACCGTATTGTGTTGGGAGTGGTGGTGACAAAGTTATACACGTAAAAGGTGCTCGGCGGCAGGAATTAATGAGACTTCAAATCAATTCCGCTGTATGGCTTTATACTGAGCACGGCTCAGACATCTATTGACTTTGAAGATCCACTATCTAGAAGAAGTTTTAAGTCATCTATATGACGACTATATGGAATCTCCATCGATCACTACAAAGACCAACAGGTTTCCATTTGGCGAAGTAACTTAACTTACTTTCTGGGATCAAATATTCACTTTTATTTTTTTTTTCATTTTCTAAAAGTATTTTTGCCGTGGTTTATTGCGGAAAATTAAAAGATTAAATATTTTGAATAATAAAACAAGCGCGCCAAGGATTTCTTACACTACTCCGTTCCGGATAAACTAGGGCTCTAATGGAAAAGAGTTCGTACGTATAGATGCACGTATGTGCGAACGATTATCATACTCATGCATATAACAATATAATTATATTATCGAACTATTTTCATCTATAATTGTATATATGTATGTGTGCTTGCAGGTTGGTGGCAGTTTGTCATTTACGTACCTGATTTGCCGTTGATGTCTTTAGCTTTCAGATTTCGCGCCTTAATCAATGTTAATGTTAGTACTGAGTTTGATGGATGATAGCAGAGCGATGAAAGCAATTCACCGCATTTATCCTTAGCTGGTGGTTTCAATGCTTTCCAAAATGATTGCTTGCTAGCAAAATCAATCTATAGGCATATGATACATTCATGTAGTAGATATAAAGTGATAATGTAGATGTAGACAGCTACAGGATACCTTATATGATTATTTTTTAATTATTATATATGTATATGCACAACACAAATTAATGTTTAAGGACATAAAATAACTTTTTCTTTATGTAAGAAGCTTATTACTAAGTAAGTTTTTTTTTCTTTCAGCGCCCCTTATTTTTTTTTTACATCCTAAAAGAAAATAAAAGACCAAAATCAGAATTTTTTTGCCACTTATTACAATTATATCTATTGCACTTGTATATATATGAACATATATATATAAATATATTTATAATATATATGGGCATACCTCTCATTAGACTGTCGAATTCCAAGAAAAATTTAATATTTTCCCAAACTAATATCGGGCTAAAAAACTGTATTGGTTTACTATTTTTAACTATTCGTTAAATTTATTTTCAATATTTACACCGTTTTCGAAGCTCAGGAGTCTGCCCCTTTTCATAAAGCTACGATTTGTTTCAAAATTTCAGAAAATTTATAAATTATTTGTATTGTATGTTTCAATGCTATGTAAACGTTTTAAAAAAGTAGTATTTTTAAAAACTTTTCAAATAACAAAATAGGGAGGTTATTCGATTACTTCGTTAATGAAAAAAAAAAACATTAAAAATGTTGATAAAAATAATTGAAAACGAGAAATCGTTCTTTTTTTACAAAAAAAACCTAAATTAGAAAAATAACTAAGGTTAACTGAAAAAATTACTCCTAGGTAGGAGTCTCTCTTTGAAGTACAAGCTAAGTTACAATTAGTTAAAATAAAACACTAACTCCCCATCAGGCGGATTTGGTTATACCGGGCTCAAATTCTCGAGATTATCTCTGTTTTGGATATAGTCTCTTGAAAAAACCAGCGTCAATAACAGTGAACGAGGTGTGCATACTTTTATCAAAGAATCAATAGAAATACCCTTATATATGTATGCATGTGTAAATGTAGCTTTCGAGCACTTGCCACTAGAACTAAATAAAGAGCGTTACTTTTTATGAGAGAAACATTTAGCGCCATGCTAATATTACTCCTGATTATCTTGAGGAAATAACATTTGACCCTGCAAACATTGCAAAAATACCCAAAGGAACATACTCGTATGTACATTTTGTTGAAAAAAAAGGAATTTTCTTCTTTTCTGGTATAGACACCGAGTACGCGATTATAGTCGAATTAATAACATTGCACTATTCATTACTTCTCTTCTCGCCTTGGCACCACTTCCTCCACCTAGTTTTTTCCAACGAAGCGAACGTCTTCCTCTTCCTCTGCTTTCATCGGCGGGTACTGCATCGAAAACTTTCATAGCTGGATTACTCCTATCCAACCGCACTATATTACCTAGCCAGCACAACCATTGTTTCTTGTTTATCTGAACCATATTACAATACTTAAGCTCATTCCATAGACCGCGGTATTCGCCGTTCTCACCTAGTATAGGACCATATATCTTACGCAAAAGCTTTCTCTTGAAAGTTCCTAACGCCAACTCATCAGATGTTTTTCTCGTCCATCCCTCCGCATCGTAACGATAAGTGGCTTGTAGAGTTTAGTTGTGATTCGTCGAGAGAGGCCTTTACTTTTTAATTCAGTCAGCTCCATCCACTTCGCTGCTCCTTAGGCGGACAATCGCTAATCGAACCTCGTCAAAGTTATGTAATGGAACATAATTTACATCGTCATCGATTGGGATTTCGTGTTCACCATCTCCGGGTGTTCCACTTTCTTTGCCACTCAGCTAGATCACCTTTTTGGGTTCTGAAACCTTCTTTAAGTCGCTGTATTTTTTCGTAGAATTTTCTACCATTATCCTTATCGTCCAGCTTTTTATGCTCCTTATACTATCTTATCTCGGGCTCATCTTTTTCATCTGTATATGCATCTTGTTTCCCTCTTCAACCGTCGGTACCTATCCCATCCCACACGTGTTGTGGTCGATCGCAACATTGTGAGGTAGGAAGACTGCTTCCCCCCTGCTGCGAGGCGGCAGTTCTCGTAGTACCAGTTATTTTTGCGACCTTGAAGAAGTACAATAGCTTCGTTAGCAGCTGATCGTAGGAAGCTCGACATGTCGTCTCACAGTTCTCGTATACCGAGTTGCTTGTAGCTTCTCGATGTTCAACTTTCCTTGTGTTTTTCGCTGAAAAAAGACAGTAGTCGGAATGGATGTTGAGACATCGGAATGCATGCAGGCAAGAACACTGGATACATGTCTTACGTCTGTCACAACATGATCGATCTGGTTTTGAGTTTTGCGATCAGGTAACAGCCAATTAGCTTGACGTTTTTTTGTGTTGGAGTTTAGTACTACAGACAACCATATTTCGAGCCCCAGCGAAGTCGATCAGCTTCAACCCATTAGGGGTTTTTTCGTTGATAATGCTGAATTTTCCAACAGTCGTACCAAAGATACCTTCTTTGTCCACCCTCGTGGCTAGCGCTCGTAAGTATGTTCCAAACGCTTATAGGAGGTATCTTTGGCCAAATTGTTTTTTTTTCCGTCGGGACTCAATTCAACGATCTGTAGAAAAATTTTGCTTTGATTCGGATTGTGGCGAGACGTTCATCTACCGGGGAGAATGCCAGTATTCCACGACGGGGTCTCTCCCCCACGAAATTTTTGCTCCTTTCTATGGCCGCTGAAGAAAATATCACAAGAATCTACACGCGGTTTGGCAGCGGCACCTTCCCCCATTAAGGTACCGAAAATTCCGGGTGTATAACCTATATTTGATTGCTGCGGTCGTCAACAGAAAGGGCAGTTTCATCCGCGCCGTTGTAAGTTTTTCATTGCTGCTGGTTTCTACGTATCGGCTCCCAAGCCCAGCATACAGCCTCGCTAGGTGAGTAAGGTAAAAGTTTTTACACCTTTATATAGCGAGCCACTTTCTTCAAGATCTCCGCCGCAGTTAGACTTCAGCAAACTCTAAAACCGAATAAGCCGGAGATACTCCTCTAAAGTTCCCTCTCTCATTAGCCATGACCCAAGGCTTCACCCGGGTGGGTTACCGCATCTTACACAAGAGTTAGCACGTTTCTAGGGTGCGCGACGTAGGAGTTGAATTGAGTCTAACACCGCGGCTAGAACTACATACTCAGAAGCTTGACTACACGTCAAATATACCCCAGCTTGACTATACCCCATTACTACTATGCGCTTAGAGAAGAATAATTATCATAACAGAAGGCTGAATATCTATGTTATGTTACTAACGAGTGATCCAAGTAGAGGTATTTTTAAAAAGTCTTTTTTGACACATAACTAGTGAGTAGTGTCAAGCTGTCATGTTACTTTTGTTCAGTAATGTTTGGATTTTCATCTTGGAAATACTTACGCCTGAAGCAACCAAAATTGCTGCATTTGGAACAAACAGCCCAAAGAAAATTAAGAGCTGCCATTTCATCTAGAATAAAAATTGGCTTGATATGGTTTTAGGGCCGGTGCAATCATGGGTCCATATATCTTCAATAATGATGTTTTCACCGGCATAACTATGAAAGACGACCGTAATCACGCCATGAACACATTTTTGAGTAGATAACTGCTCGTTTATTGCTGAACGATCGGCCACCAAGATCGTGTTTTATCACATCGCTCGACTTTCTCCAATCGGGATATGTAAAGTCTAAAGCCTATGTGGTCAATCCTGCTTCGAATCACGCCTTGCTGATGTTTACAGCAACGCGTATCATTTGCCAGTTACCACTCGGATTGCTCGAACGAGTCATCGAAAATTTGGCTCACGTATGGACCATCTATTACGTAGCCGCGGCCAATATTTGGAAGAGATAATCTTAAAAAAATAAATGTAAAGAATGTTCCTTTAAGCAATATTAAAAATTTCTCATGACATTTGAATTTTCTGTGATTTTTTTCTTTAAAAGTGTGAGAAAATTAGAACTGGATCAATTAGTTAAAATAAAATAATAATTCCTCAGCGGTTAGCCAAGTGTACATACTTTTCCAAAAATTAATAAAAATTCCCGTAAATCTTTATGTGTGTATAAATGTAGCTTTAGAGCACTTGCCACTGGAACTAAATAAAAAGTGTTACTTTTTATGAGATAACATTTAACGCCATGCTAATATTAGTCCTAATTATCTTGAGAAAATAAGATTTGCCTTTGCAAATAATGCTAAAATGCCCCAAGAATCATTTGTACGTTTCGTTGAAAAAAAGTAATGCTACTTCACATCTTTTCAAAAAGTTATAAATCAAACTAAACTCCAATTTGTGGTTTTGCGTCTTGCTATTTTTTCAACAAATAGGGGTACCTTCAGTTATTCTAAGCTACCGAACGGCTCATCGTTTTTCATGAGGAGCCTTTATTACATGTCAGAAAAACACTCTGAGGGGCACCGCAGTTAAAGAATTTTACTTAATTTTTATTATGTAAATTGAATTTCTATGATTTTTGGATGTTGGTCGTACTAGGATTTGAACACGGATCTTCTGAATGGCCGAGCCCAATGCTAACCATACGGCTACCGCAACCGCCAATTGGCACCAGTACTCAAAATCGTGGAGAGAGGTGCTTTTGATTATGGAAACGCCATTTTCCAGTACTATGCCTTTGATTAAGAGTCTCACTCAGCACAACTACAATATGAACATAATTTTTGTCCGGATAGTGTTGCGCAATATTGCCATCCAGTATGACTCCAATCTGGTTATAATTATAAGTTCATTTATAACTATTGTTTATTATTTCAAGCTACATACATAATATACTACAGTACTTGTAATTTAAAACTATCAAAGTATGTTATCTAAATAAATACAGTTCTAACGAATTTTATTAATTGACACAATTATCTTCATTTCCTAAGCAAAAAAATTAATAAAAAAGAAAAGGGAAGATCTAAAAAAATCTATTGTCCACAGTCTGCGCCAATGATCGTGGGATAAGCCTCCTTAATCTGAATATAAAGTCCTTTCCAGCGCATTGAGTTAAA